AAGTACCTGTAAAGTCTGGAGGAAACTGTTTAAACAATGTAAGGAATCAAGGATCACGAAGAAAAGAGGTAAACATAACATGACACCACCCAAAGAAATTAATAAAGCTCCAATAACTGACCCTAATGTAACAGAGGTCTATAAGCTGTCTGAGAAAGAAATCAGAATAATCCTCTTAAAGAACTTCAGTGAACTACAAGAACACATAGACATCTAAAGAAAATTAGGAAAACAGTACACAAACAAAACAAAAAGTTCAAGAAAGAAGTGGAAACTATCAAAAAAAAAAAGAAATCTTAGAGCTGAAGAATACAATGGCTGAAGAATTCAATAGAACAAAATGGCAATACCTATCAAAAAGTACTTTTAACATAAATGGATTAAATTCTCCAATCAAAAGACAAAATGGCTGAATGGATAAAAAACAAGATCCCAATGATATGCTGTCTACAAGAGACTCAACTTTAGTTTAAAGGACACATATAGGATGAAGTGATAGATATTCCAAGCAAGTGGTAACTGAAAGAAAGCAGGGATAGCTATACAAATATCAGACAAGGTAGACTTTAAGGTAAATATAGTCATGAGAGACAAAGAAGGTCATTATATAATGAAAACGGGGTCAATTAATCAAGAAGATATAACAACAGTAAATGTTTTAGCACCCAACACTGCAGCACCTAAATATATAAAGCAAATACTAACACAAATAAAATGAGCAATAGCAATATAATAACACCAGTTTACTTTAACATCCCACTCTCAGCAATGGATAGATCATCCAGAGAATCAATCAGGAAAGAGGGGATTTAAATAACACTATAGACTAAATGGATCAAACAGACATATATAGAACATTCCATCCAACAGCAACAGAATACACATTCTTCTCAAGTACAGAGAAAATTTTTCTAGGATTGATCATATCGTAGGCCACAAAATAAGTCTCAACAAATTCAAGAAGACAGAAGTTTTATCAAGCATCTTTTACAAACACTATGTTATGAAGGCAGAAATCAATAACTGTTAGAAAGCCAGAAAGTTTTCAAATACATGGAAATTAAACAACACACTCCTGACCAACCAATGGACCAAAGAAGAAATCAAAAGGTAAATAAAACAAATTCTGAGACATACAAAAATGGAGAAGAGCTTCAAGATGGCAGAAGAGTAAGAAGTAGAGATCACCTTCCTCCTCACAGATACATCAGAAATACATCTACACGTAGAACAACTCCTACAGAACACCTACTGAACACTGGAAGAAGACCTCAGACCTCCCAAAAGACAAGAAAATCCCCACGGACCTGGGTGGGGCAAAAGAAAAAAGAATAAACACAGACAAAAGAAAAGGGATGGGACCTGCACCAGTGGGAGGGAGCTGTGAAGGAGGAAAGGTTTCCACATACCAGGAAGCCCCTTCGCGGGCACAGACGAGGGTGGCGGGGAGGGGGGGGAGGAGCTTCGGAGCCACAGAGGAGAGCGCAGCAACAGGGGTGCGGAGGGCAAAGAGGAGAGGTTCCCGCACAGAGGATCGGTGCCGACCAGCACTCACCAGCCCGAGAGGGTTGTCTGCTCACCCACCGGAATGGGTGGGGGCTGGGAGCTAAGGCTCCAGCTTTGGAGGTTGGGGCCCAGGGAGAGGACTGGGGTTGGCTGCGTGAACACAGCCTGAAGGAGGCTAGTGCACCACAGCTAGCTGGGAGGGAGTCCAGGAAAAAGTCTGGAGCTGCGAAGAAGCAAGAGACTTTTACTTGCCTATATGTTTCACGGTGCGTGAAGAGAAGGGATTCAGAGCACCACTTAAAGGAGCTCCAGAGACGGGCGTGAGCCGCGGCTATCAGCACACACTCCAGAGACGGGCATGAAACGCTAAGGCTGCTGCTGCAGCCACCAAGAAGCCTGTGTGCAAGCACAGCTCACTCTCCACACCTCCCCTCATGGGAGCCTGTGCAGTCCCCCACTGCCAGGGTCCGGTGATCCAGGGACAACTTCCCCGGGAGAATGCATGGCGCGTCTCAGGCTTGTGCGATGTCAATGGTGGCCTCTGCAGCCGCAGGCTCGCCCAGCACTCTGTACCCCTCCCTCCCCCCGGCCTGAGTGAGCCAGAGCCCCTGAATCCCCTGCTCCTTTAACCCCGTCCTGTCGGAATGAAGAACAGACGCCCTCAGGCAACCTACATGCAGAGGCAAGGCCAAATCCACAGCTGACCCCCAGGAGCTGTGCGAACAAAGAAGAGAAAGGGAAATCTCTCCCAGCAGCCTCAGGAGCAGCATATTAAATCTCCACAATCAACTTGATGTACCCTGCATCTGTGGAATACCTGAATAGACAACGAATCATCCCAAATAGAGACGGTGGACTTTGGGAGCAACGATATATATATATATATATATATATATATCCTTTTTCTCCTTCTGTGAGTGTGTATGGGTATGCTTTTGTGT